TAAGTAACCATGTATTGTTACTAAAGAAAGTTACGATTTGAAACACTACTATGTCCTTATACTTTTTTACGTACTTATACATCTACAATTTGTAAAGATATTTGTCCCATTTATTTGTAATTATTTTTATTTTATTGTATATAATATATTATAAACAACTTTTTTGAGGTCCAAGGATAGGACAAAGGAATTTCTCATATCAGCGTCATTGTCATTGAATAAACAACGCATTTGATGCTAAAATAGATGCAAATGGGGGGGTTCTAATAAAATAAAAAACGAAAAAGTGGTGAGAATAGTCGTCGTTTGGCTAATTGTCATGGCATTGGGCAACCTGCTTGGTAGGCCCCAATCACGGATGTGGTTTTATCTCTGTTTATATTAATATTGTGGTCATCAACTTTGACACAATGTGCCCATTTCACTATAGTCAAATTTTATGTTTTGGTCTTTTGTTTTGGGTCTCTTTCTATTTTGCTTCTTCTTACTGAGGGATATTCCTCTTTTACTTTACAGATATAATTTAATTAAATATACAAAACTACTTTATACCAAAAACAAAAAAAAATTCTCAAAAAGTAAAATGTATGATACATATTTAAATTTATTATGATTTGGATCATACTCAAAACAAATTTGAACTATTTAAAATAAATCTAATTTACATATTTCAAATTTCAAATTTTTTTATTATATATATTTATGTGAGTACTTTATACTATTATTAGGTATAATATTTACTAGCGTCAGCATTATTATGTCTTTTGTGTATGGTGCAACTCATCTAAGAATATGGATTGTTTGAAAATATACATATACTAGACTCCCACATATATTATGTGTGTGCATATTAATACAATTGTCAAGATATATATATATATATACACACTGAGGAAAATGGGTTGTAAATACCATTACAAGATGGGAAATTTTTTTTAGTAACTGAATGAAAGATTAACAATCTCAGATTTTGCGCAATTCTAAATGTGTTTGTGTGGAAAGTGTTTTTTATTTTTTTTAAAATTTTTTATCATTCCAATTAGCAAAAGTTAAAATTATTACACAGGTAAAAACGTGCTTTTTGTTTTCCTGAACAATTTTTAAAATAAAAAATGCATTACACAATTTCATTTTGTTGTTCATAAATAAAGCGAGCCATTGACTTTACGTCACTTTATTATTCACATCAAACATGCAAGGTATTTGCTTTGATTTTAAATAGGGCCTCTACAAGTGGATAGTGGTTTGGTCTCTCGGAATTAGTCGAGATGCATAAGCTGGCCCGAACATTCGGTTATCAAAAAAAAAAAATTTTTTTTGTTTTTTTTTTTCCCTAACATAAATAATATATATATATATATATATATGCACACATTATAACAGTAGTATGCTGTCTTTGTCCATGGATAAACTTTTGGTGCATCCATTCAACACAGGTTTGCTCCGTACTGCCACCATTTAGCATTGTATAATTTATGTTAAGTTAATTTTAGTCATAATAAAGTAAAAGAAATGCTTCGTACTTTCCTCAAGGCACACTTATGAAGAGAGAGAGAGAGAATCAAAATTCACATTCTTTGTTTCACATTCACATATCAAGAAGGTTTTAACACACATACATACAAGTTGATATTTATATACCCATATGGATATGGAATTGATTGCATGAATTTCAGCATATTTTTTTCTTAATTTGGCATCAATAATAAAGTTCCATGCATTAACAACAAGAATTATCAAACACATCCACAAATAAGTGATCGGAGAATGTATACTCCAAGTGATACATATTAATTGTTATTTAATATATCTTATTATATACTATTTTCGATTGATTATGAGAGTTGGTTTGGCCAATGGACCCAAAAACTTTTAATAGCTTGACAAAAACAAGTCCCAATTTCAAATTATGTCAACAAAGCTGAACAAACCATGACCTTTGGCTTACCAAACAAAGGAAATCTCTCATAAGCAAAAGTCAGCACAAAAAAACAATTTATTTTGGTATAAAAAGTATTACAACTGTAAACAATTATTGTTTTAGTTGTTTGGTCAGCCTAAGTAAACCTTCTAGTTGCCTTTCAAAAACCTAAAGCAAGCTAGCTACGACTAAACACTAAATTTTTTTAACTCAGAGTGAGATAACATAATGTCGTTGATTAATTCCCACCTTTTTTATTTGATTTTTTGTTCTTCCGTGTACTCCTATATAAACAAAGAAAATGACACAAAACTATATTTTAACTTTAATATTGGATGTTAATTTATAATTCATTATGAAGATTCGTCACACAACATAAATTAAGCAGAATTTAGATTATCCAATATGTGATATAGTAAATTAAGGATTGGTCTTAGAAAACAATGAAGGATAAGAAAAGAATAAATTATTCTCCTTGCATGATAGTATGTCCAAGAATGCATTCACAAATGAAAGCAACAATCAAAAAACGTTACATATCCATCATATGAGGTTTTCAATGGCACTAAATGCTTTATTGAAGTCTAATCCTTTTACATGATTATACAATTTGAACCAAGCACACCATTTTAAGAATTATATACTCCCATCTGATCGTGACTTGGGTTCAATTTTAGAGTTAAATTATTGTAGTAGCTCTTGATGCTCTTCTCCATTATGCTTCCTTTGCTCATAACTATTTAATTAATGAGAACTTTATTTTGATCTGGAAAAATTCCCCCCCAAAGTTATTACTAGTAGTTTCTTCATCATGGGATGATTGATCAATTTGAGAGAAAATATGTCAATTGAAAGTCTTTTTATTTTTTATTTTTTAATCAACAAAAAGAAGGAACTTTAATTGATGAAACTCAAAGTCAAAATACAAAGACAACATTAATAAAGAAATGTGAGTGCAAAACACATCAAAACAAAGCAAATCCATTCCAACTGAAAGTCTGTAGCCACCAAATACAAGAAAGATGATCCAAAATTTCATATGATCATCATTGACATACAAATATTTTAAAAACACCTTCCTAACAACACCATGACCGATCAAGAGAGGATAAGGGAAGAAATTTGTCTTGGCTGCAGAATTTAAACCAAGAGCAATAATGGAATTTCTTATCCTTTTGCTGAAAAAGAAAACAAAAAAAGAGCAATGGAACTTCCTGTACCATATAATATAGCTTCTAACGGTGGAATTGATAAGAACGCAAAGTCGTGCTATCAAATGCGCTATGGCACATGCAACTGTGTTGACTGAATTGATTGAGTACATTTATAATTACAGCTTGTTAGGTAACTATCGGCATCAAGCATATCAGTGGTGTGCCAGATCAACAATCAGGCCAATCTTATGAGGAAATGCATATCAATTTGGTCTCCTTTTTGGAATTAGGGTTAAGTCTCTGCATGATGTATCCACAAATTGTACAACGTGAGATTTTTTCATGAATTGCTAAGAGGGAGCTATGCAATATAAAGAGGGGGAAAACACATAAAACCTAATAAAATTTTATATCTAGTTAGTGGGCTTTAGGAGTTTGTAAATTGCACACTAAATAATGTATATATATATCGGTTAGGAACAATCCAGAAAACATTAAACTATAAAAATGAAAACCTCGACCCAAAATTCTAAAAGCATGAATGGATGATTGTGACTGTTTTTTTTTTTAAATTCAAAGCATTTTGTGTAATCATGAAGGCAATTTTTCCTTAACGAGTGATTAACAAATTCAACTAAATTTATTCACTTTAATATGTTAGTGGTGACTGGTGACAATAGTCTTGAGAGTAAAGTGGACTAGAACTGGATTGATGATAAGTTCAAAACTTCCTTGACTTTTTTAAGTAGCCACATAGAGGATTAACTTAAAATATAAAATTTAGTACCAGAGAAGACCGTCTACAGTTTCATTTTGATTTTACAAGGATGTTGAACTCCTAATAAATGAGCACTGAACCTCTAAAATTCCAAAAGATGAATATAGAAGTTTAAATGACTCCCAAAAGCAACATTGCATTGATGAAAATCTGTAATACAACTTAATTTGATCAATTTGTTTATCGTGTTGAGGTAAAATTATTTCATTAACATTGTTCATTATCAAGTTTAAGGACTACCCAATAATGCATTATAGTCGAGATTGTTGCCTCAATTGTATTACTTGCGATTATTGAAAGTGATCTGATTCATACAACCAAGTTCAAAATTAATGGTAAACCCCAAAAGCTAAATTCTAGTCCCTCGCTTCACACTTGTAAAGTAAAACGCTTTATTTTTATTTTTTTATTGTTTAAGCAGCAATTGAAGGTCCTTTATTAATGAACTCAAAAGAATAACATCCATAAGAAATAATAATAATAATAATAATAAGAAACAAGAAAGTGCGAAAAATGCAGTAGGACGCTTGATAACTAAGAGATATTCTTCTTCAATAGCTTATTTTAGTAGTAAGAACCAAAAGTCAACTAAAAGTTAATCAATAATGCTAGCGACCCTAACACTTTTATCAACAACAATTATCTCTAAACAGAAACTTAAATTAAATATGAACATAGGATGCGTTTTATTTCCTTGTGCTTGTAAATTCATGTTTTTAATGGAATTTTTCTTTGCCGGTCAAAAAAAAAAAAAAAATATGAACATAGGATGCATAGGAGCGCAAAACTATGATTTCTAGCATGTTTCGATCTCAACTAAAGGGATAAAGAGCAAGCAATTGATGAAAATGTCATATAGCATAATATGGAAATGAATACGACAACAACACAATTGAAACTAGATTAAGTACTAAAATGTTTTATAGATGAAATATGCCGAGCTGAGCTCTATAGATCTCCATGTGATGATACTGAAATGAAACTAACATTAAATTAATGCATATTATCTGGGGAAAATACCATACTTACTAGAGCCCAGCAAGTTGTGGCCAAACTATCAAAAGGAATCTGATATACTAGGTGCCTTTTCTTGGGGATTCCAAGGAACTTTTGTGGCAGAAAACCATGTAATTCTGATCCATATGTATTATAGAAATCATACACTTTTATTATTAAAAACAATAATCTACCATGAACACAGCACTTATCCTTCAGACCAGTCAGCAGAAACCACATATCCAACCATGTCTTCACTCAAGATGCTTCATTTGAGACAAATTTGAATCCACTATGATTTAAATTTAGGCTCTCAAGCTCCTAACCTCCCCTAATTTAACATCAAGATAAGATAGTCGGAATGAAAGAAAACAATTAAAGAGGTTCTCATTAGACAAACACATCACTGAATGAACATACCAGGGTTTATTCTGAAAATTCAAAAACCACCTTCCCTATTGCTAGAAATTTACACCGTTGTTGTCGATTTCAACTCATCAAAAGTACTTTCTTGCAGCATTGTTCCTTGTTGAAGAAGACCTTCATAGTTGGAAATCATAGGAGGATAACTCATAGAGCTCATCTCACCCCAGTCCATGCTCTCCCCAGAAGTTGTCTCGGTTCCATTACTAACCACCATGTCTCCATAGAAGAACTCAAGGCCATCTAATCTTTGTGGATTGTTGTTGTTATATAGCATTTCCTCAAACTCAGCTTGAAAACCACTTTGCCCCGGCAACATGGTCATGCCTGTCCCATCTATACCGTACTGGGTATTCGCCAATTGATAAGTATCAGTGTTTAAAGGATCAGTAGAAGAAGAATAAACCATCTCAATAGAGGGTGCATAAGCTTGATGGCTGTAGGAAAGATTGACAGGAAGAAACTGATGATGATGATGATGAAGATTCGTCGCCGTGTCTTGAATTGGATGTTGATATTGATGATCATCAGAAAATTTTCCTCCAAGCTTGATCAACACTTTTCGGATAGAGACATGGTCATTGAACCTTGGTTCCTGGTTTGAGTAAGGTATAGCCATAGGTGCCGGGAGCTCTGGCCAGTATGGGGCTTGGTTATTTGTGTTATGGCTAGAAACCATTGATGAGTTCTCATTTCCTTTCCTCATTCTTTGCTTTTGGCAGCTATTACCTCTGCGAGCCTGCTGTTCTTTGCGCTGCTTTCCTAGGAGCTTCTTCTTCAACCTTGTGTTCCAGTAGTTCTTTATGTCGTTATCGGTCCTTCCTGGTAATTGTGCTGCGATGATAGACCACCTGTTCATGCCAAAGGTTAGTTCTGTACCCAATCTATTCCTTGCAGACCTCTCAGTATATATGTCTTCTTCTTTTTTTCTTTACTTAAATTTAAGAGAGTAAAAGGATTGAATTGAAGCACATGATATATACCTGCTTCCAATACTTATATAGAGGCTGCAAATTAGGTTATCTTCTTCCTCAGAGAATCCTCCATGCTTGATATTCGGGCGGAGATAGTTCAACCATCTAAGCCGACAGCTCTTCCCGCATCTCTTGAGGCCTAATTAAGAAAAAATACTCATGTATGGTGTGAGATATTCACATATATATCAGCAAAGTTGAGTCAATTTTTGAATTTGATTAAGATCAACATCAACAGGGAAGATAAAACAAAATGGAAGAAAAAGAAATTAAAAAAAGTAGCTTTTTTTTGGTGCTTAATTAGTACCAATCTTTTGAGGCAAAGCAATCCAGTTGCCGCCGGTGCCGTGTTGCTCTATATAAGACTTGAGCTTGGCGTCTTCTTCAGGTGACCATGGCCCTTTCTTGACGTTGGCTTTGTCACAGCAAGGAGCTCTCCCCATTTTTCCTTGCGAGCTTGATGTTTGTTTGTCTACTTTCTTTTGCTTTCTTGAGAATAAGATCAGTATTATGTGAGAGAGAGAGAGAGAGAGAGAGAGGGAGATTATAATAGCAGGAAGAGGATAAACATGTTTCCTGGAGTAGCCATATGATTTAAAAAGGGGGTATGGAATAAAGACGAGTGTTATTATGCATAGAATATTCAACAAATTATAATGCCAGAGGAGACCAGAGGTTTTTCCTCTTGTCTTTCGCAGTCTAGAATCATTATATACCCCATATGACTGTTGATATCATTGTAAATATAAGGCTAATAATCCTAACCATCAATTGTTAGATATATTGAAAATTTGAAACATGTTATCACAGGTCCAATAATACTGTATAATTAGGCCATCAAGTAAAATAAAGTATTATTAGCTCTTTGTCACGACCCAAATTCGTCCCTATAGATTTAGCGTTGTAACCGGCCAGTAATCTTAAGATTATCAAAGGCCTCTGAAACAGATTCATGATATAAGGGGTTAGCGGAAGCAAATAACAAATATACAATGTTCATAGAACTGTACAGACTTATGAGCCAGAAAAATTTCAACCTTTATATATATATATATATAAACACCTCATTCTTACGTCATCCAAATATAGATAAAACTTAAGAGACTAGCCCTATTACATAATACACAAATGTTGTTCAAACCAAAACAAAAGAAAATAAAAGTTTAAGATTGGTTCACAAACTTGACTACAGCCATTTATCGGGAACCTCCTCGTGAGGCATAGTAACTGGCTAACAGAACTGATCCACACTAGAAGTCGCAAGTCTGGTCACGCACCTGATCACTTACATACATAATATAAACAATGAGCTGGAGCCTAGTGAATAACAATAGAGTAAATGGTTTATGAATAATGTCCATGATAGAGTCAGAAATCAGAATTCAAATAAGAAACAAATTCATGTGCTTATTTAGATTTGTAAGCAGTCATATGTGGTACATCCATTAGCTCTAACAGATCAGATTGGCCATAAAGACCCATACACAGAGCAGATGGTTACTAAGACCCTTATTCATATCAGACAGATGATCGCGCACAATCATAACAGATAACCATATAGGTTTCACAGATAGTTACATGAACGGAATCCACAGAGATCCCTAGTACTAGGTAACAGATAACAAATACACATGATACTAAGGATGCCACGATACATTTTAAAAATCGGACAATCATTCATCTATATAGAAAATATCATTTTAGAAAAACAGAGGTTATCATATTCATCAGAAAAACTGATACTTGAACAAATCTATATAAGGTTGTTACTCACAGATAGCTCCAGAAGTAGAACAAACAATGTAGACAGATTGGTCGGATAATGGCGCATGACCTACACACAAACACGTGACAAATATATATTGAAACACGCACTCCGAATATACTTAGCTCATTGCATAAACCATGGCTTAAGAATGCCTAAGATGGAGCGATAATGCAATAATGCACTTTGAAACACTTTGCAAAATTTCTGAAAACAGGGTAGCTCACTCAAGCGAAGCTTTGGTCGCTTGAGCGGTTTGCAAAATCTGCAAAAGCACTAGATGCTCTCATTTCACATTCGAGCTAATTTTTTATCGCTCTAGCCAAGATCGAAAATAAAGGATGGTCGCTCGAGCTAGCCATCAAACTCTGCAAAACTTCTAAGAGCTTAAAATGTACGCTCGAGTGACGGTTTGGTCGCTCGAGCGATGCGATCAAATCCTGGAATTTCCAAATTGCTCTTTAAGGTTTAAAACTCAATTCCAAAGAACCAAAACACATTCTTTTGGGACAAAACTTGAAGAAACACTTGAAAACTTTTAAAACATGAAATGGAGATCAATTCACAAAATCAAAGCCCAAAAGCTTGACAATTCTTCAAAACTATGCTCTTCTTTACATGTTATGAACATGCATGTAATAATATGAATTCAAAACTTCCAAAACATGGATTCATAGAGTGAAAAGTATGAAAACATGTTGAATTCTCAAACTTGACCATAAAAAACACCATGTATGTGTGTATTTGTTGAATTTCAAATTCAAAACTTAGTGAATTATGCATGTATGCATGCATGATTTGACTCCAATTCCATCATTCTTAGTTCAATTTAAGTGGATATCTCTAAATTCTCATGTAAGTTAGCTTTCTATCTCAAAATGAGAGTTGAATTCTTACCTAAACTCTTTAATTGGACTCTAAGTTGTTAAATCTTAAGCTAGCAAGCCAATACTTCCAATTCTCTTCCAAATTCTTCTTTTCCTCTCATGATTTCAATATTTTCCTCTCTCTCTCTCTCTCTCTCTCTCTCTCTCTCCCTCCTATTTTTTCTTGATGTCAAAGATGATGAAGAAATGTGTAGAATGTTGTAAGATGAGGCTTAAATGACTTATATAGACTTTATTAAGGTGGCCTAACTAAACTTGGTTAAACTTAATTAAGGCCTCGTTTGGGAATATGCTATTTTAGTAATTTTTTAACTTTTTATGAAAAAATGTGCAAAAAAGTAGAGAGAGTGATATGACAATTTATAGTGATTTTTTGACTAAAATAGTTACTGTCCAAACAAAGCCTAATTCTAATTCATTTATCCTAATTATTTGATTTCGAATCAAATTCTAATTAAACTTGCCATGAGGTTCTAAAAATTTCAAATAATATATAAACATAGTCAATTTCATATTCAGATGCCGATAAGGCCTTCAATCAACAGAACAAAGAAGAATTCTGAACAAATATTCCTACGACTAACAGATAGGAATGCAAAACGCATATAAAATGCACAATTTACACATAATCTCATTCTTAAAACTTAATTAGCATTCTTAATTATGAATTATGGGCTAATTACAGATCAAGGTTATTACACTCTTATTTTTATAATAAGTATGGGTGAGATCTAGTGGAACCTTGTTGTATCATTTACTATTGTAATCCTGTGATGTTAGTGCTCTCCTCTGCTCTTTTTTTTTCCTGTAAGATTTGTTCTTATTTTCTTATCATCAATAAAGTTTTTCATTGCTGATATCCAAAAAAAATAAAATAAAAAAACTGTTATGTTAGATTAGGATTTAGATGATCTTATGTTCATGCTATGCATCCAACAAATGAATTTATTAGTTTAAATAAATTACAAGTGTGAACGAGAGGAGGTAGTATTTTGTCTATCAATTTTTTTTTTAATTTTATTTTACCAGCAAAGCGAAAAATTTATTAAAAAATGAAATTAATGGTACCAAAAATGAAATGCACTAAGAGAGATTCAGAAAGTATATACTACCCCTATTATTAGGGGTGTTTGCGGTTTGGTTTTGGACGGCTTGCGGATCGGTTTGGACTGGCCCATTTGGAAAAATTCAACCCGCAACCGCCTGCAGTGCGAGTTGCGGTTTGTGCGGATAGGGTTCGTGAATGTGCGGGCGATTTACAGGTTGGACTTTTTTTAATTTTCAGATTCAATTTCAATTTCCAAATTCAATATAACACAAGATTGATTTCAATTTCAAAAGTAATTAACAGATTCAATTTCTCCTCTATGAAGAAGTAGATTCAATTTTCTACTATGTTCACAGAGCAAACAAAAACAAAAATAATGTTCTCAAACAATGTTCTCTACAAAAGTTCTTTATGTATCATGAAATTAGGGTTTGGTGTGTTGACCAAAAATATCTAGGATATGATGAATGAAATCAACGGTTCCAGTTTTTTTTATAAAAAAAAATCTAAGTGTGGGCAGGTTATTTTGGGTGCGGGTTAAATCCGCAACCCGCAATTATACTATATTCCAAACCATATCCACCCGTATTGTGTCTGCAAAACTGCTCATTTGTAGTGGATTGATTTGGGTTAGACAGATTGTGTAGTTCGGAAAACCCTATACCTAGCCCCACCTACTACTGCTGTTTACATCCACACAACCAATCTCTTGGCTTCACGATTTTTATAATTATAAATAAATAAATAAAAACCAAAAAAAAAAAAAATTGAAAGCATAAAGATGGTTTAAGTAGATCTTAACTTTTTTTAATTCATTACTTAGATTTTTATCCATAATTATAATGTGTGAACAAGAATTTTTTTTTTAAAAATTTCCGTTGTACCTACAAAAACAGAACAAGAATTATTTTCGATATGATTTACATTATACTATTTAAATTCACACTTCACACTCCTCTTTTTGAATAAGTTTCAGATTAAAATTTCTTTAAGAAAAAGTAAACTGATGGGCAAGTGGCTATGAAGAAGACATTTAGGTCTCGTTTGGAAATATGAGATTTTAGAATAAAGTTAAAAAGTCAAAAAAAATTTCTATTTACTTTACTTTTTGTATATCTTTTCATAAAAAATCAAAAAATCATTTCATATTTTAGCCAAAAAATTAAAAAATCACTAAAAAAGTCTGTTCCAAAACAACGCCTTAGGTGTCAAGGTGAGTGAGATTTTCAAATCTAACTAACCGCTATATTGAAGAGAAAAAAAAATTGGAATTGTTTATTGTGTAATGAATATACCACTGTGTTGTGTAACTTTCTCTTTCAAATGCCTGACCGTAGTAAACTTGCTGCACAGAATATTTTAGTTTTACCACTACAAGAAAAAGCATCTTTAGCGACTAAAAAAACACCTTTGGTCGTTGAAAGTATAGGCTTTGCCGACTAAAAATATTTTAGTAGCCAAAAGTTACTTATGGCGAGTAAAAAAATTTAGTAGCCAAAAGTATAGGTTTTGGCGATTAACAATCTGTTTACTCGCCGATATAAGGCTTTTACCGACTAAAAATATTTTAGTAACCAAAAGTAAGGCTTTTTAGTAGCCAAAAGTGAGGCATTGGGCGACTAAAAAAATGTTTAGTAGCCAAATGTGATGCTTTTACCGACTAAAAAAATTTTAGTAGCCAAAAGTGAGGCTTTTGGCTACTAAAAATAATTTAGTAGCCAAAAGTGAGGCATTAGGCGACTAAAAAGATGTTTAGTAGCCAAATGTGATGCTTTTACTGACTAAAAAAATTTTAGTAGCCAAAAGTGAGGCTTTTTGGCGACCAAAAAGAAGTTTAGTCGCCAAAAGTAGTAATTTTAGCGCAGGAATTAAATTTTTTAGTGACTAAAAAAATTAGTAACCAAAAGTATAGAATTGGTGACTAAAAAAAGTTTAGTCGCCAAAAGTGGTCTCTTTTTTTTTTCTAGTAAATAATTTATTTTGGGTA